CGGATTTTTCTGGTCCACCATAAATGCTTCTTTTTTTCCCAGCTATTTTTTACAGGCCCCTGCTCTTTCATTTCAAAACGTCCCAAAAATCTGCCATTGTCATCTTATAGTAAGTATAACAGAGTGTAAGCAGACACATTTTGGTGAATTTTTACTGTACTTTAAATGCAATCAGACCCATATAGAATGGAGTGGGGTGCCAAGTTTAAGAGGTGATTATTAAAAAATGCTACACTCTGTTATACCTACAAAATATCTACACTAAAATTACGCTTAAATAAAATCAAAGACAATGAACTGCTCCAACCCTAAAAGTATCCCGTAGCTATGCCTCAAACTAAGCACCTTAATTTTGCCTCTTATACAGTAGCACTCTTATGATGGTAGGACTGCAAAACGAAAGTCTTTTCCCAAATGTCCTCCATAGGACATAACAGTATATTGTATAATTATGCATTTTTTTCACACAAAAAACATAGGGCAAAGCACATATTCAGTTTACGTACAGTACTTGTTAAGCTGGTTCAAGGTGAACAGTCTAATCATCCACATTAATGGTCAATAATACAGTCAGTTAAGTCAAAAGCCAATGAGCTGCTATATTCAAGAGGCTCACACTCTCCCAACCTATCCATCCGTTTTTCTAACCTTGCGCCCTGATCCGGGTCATGGGGACTCTGGAGCCTATTCCAGTTTGAAAGTAGTTTGTAAANTGTCATCTTATAGTAAGTATAACAGAGTGTAAGCAGACACATTTTGGTGAGTTTTTACTGTACTTTAAATGCAATCAGACCCATATAGAATGGAGCGGGGTGCCAAGTTTAAGAGGTGATTATTAAAAAATGCTACACTCTGTTATACCTACTATAAGATGGCAATGGCAGATTTTTGGGACGTTTTGAAATGAAGGAACAGGGGCCTCTAGAAATAGCAAAAAGCTGCAATCAGACCCAATTATGGAGAATGGAGTGTTGGTGTTTAGGAGCTGATTATGAGAAAATGCTACAGTAAAAATTCACCAAAATAAGTCTGCTTACACTCTGTTATACCTACTATAAGATGGCATTGGCAGATTTTTGGGAAGTTTTGAAATGAAAGATCAGGGGCCTGTAAAAATAGCTGAAAATAAAGAAGCATTTAAGGTGGACCGGAAAAATCCGAATAAGTAGCTGTCGAATAAGTAACCTTAACCTTAACCCTAACCCTAACCCTAACCGGAGCTCCACTTTACGTCCTTAAAGATCACGCGTTTCCTGTGGAGGTGACGTATTTCCGGTGGAGCTCCACTCTACAGGCGATAGATATATTTTATCATGTTACTCAATGGTTATTCAGCCTTTGCACCTCCACTTTCCATTCAGAAAAGTGTGACACCACTAGAATGCAGTAACACTAAACAAATCTGTTTGCACAAGGATGTCTCTCTTCACAATAACACCACAGTCCACACACTGCTTTCATCAGCTAGACTAAAAGTGCGGCCTTTTCTCTAAACAATTTTAACATCCTTTTTTAACATTTTGCATTCTGTACTATCACATCTTCGAAAGTCCACAAACATTGAAATAAATCATTTAAACTGATTTAAAAGGAATACACTTAAGAATAATATATGATACAGGAATATATTTAACACTTGCATGAAAAACTCATCTTTAGTTTACATTATGTCTCATTTGCTGAAAAATTAAATATAAGAATAAAAATTAACTTAATTTGATGCAAAAAATATCTACACTAAAATTACGCTTAAATAAAATCAAAGACAATGAACTGCTCCAACCCTAAAAGTATCCCGTAGCTATGCCTCAAACTAAGCACCTTAATTTTGCCTCTTATACAGTAGCACTCTTATGATGGTAGGACTGCAAAACGAAAGTCTTTTCCCAAATGTCCTCCATAGGACATAATAGTATATTGTATAATTATGCATTTTTTTCACACAGAAAACATAGGGCAAAGCACATATTCAGTTTACGTACAGTACTTGTTAAGCTGGTTCAAGGTGAACAGTGTAATCATCCACATTAATGGTCAATAATACAGTCAGTTAAGTCAAAAGCCAATGAGCTGCTATATTCAAGAGGCTCACACTCTCCCAACCTATCCATCCGTTTTTCTAACCTTGCGCCCTGATCCGGGTCATGGGGACTCTGGAGCCTATTCCAGTTTGAAAGTAGTTTGTAAAACCCGAAGTAGCTCAAAGTGTTCTCCCTGACATGGATTATCTGGTCACCCTATTTTTAGGTAGGGTATTTCTTTGGTGTATTCTGGCCAGTTTCCTTCCTCAACTAGTGCCCAGCCTGCCCCCTAAGAGCGCGACCCGGAAGTAATACCTAGTGTTTCTATCAGTCAAGATGGAGGAAGTTGGTGTAGACGACTGGTTAATTGACTCGCTCCAGCTGTGAGTAACATGCTGCTTTGCAAATCCAGTATCAGAACAGGCTTAGCAATTTGCTAGCGATGTATTTTATACATATAAAAAGTATAACTTGTAATACAGGCATATTTCCAGCTTGATATACGACAATACGTTGTCCAGTTAGGTAGTTGAATAATTTGTTTGTTAATTGTTCAGTAATAAATACATTTGGCAGAATCAGTGACGTACCTTAAGGACACCGGGGACTCAGGGTATTCCATTTGCTGTTTATATATGTGCACAATAAATACATACATTATCATATTACCACTGTTTACGCGTGCTGTAATCAGCGCGCGCCCCCTTACTGGATGCAGCAACTCAAAATTTCTTATTAAACGCTGCATAAGAGCACGATCTGCTTGTATGAGTTCAGCTGTCATCCCTGGTGCATCTTTAAAATCATTAATTTCGTTTGGTTAAACGCTGATTACGTAACGATCAAAATAAGTATTTAGGAAACATTGACACGGAAATAAATCCGAGTAAGAAATATCACCTGTGTACGGAGTCCCCGAAGTCTCTTAGAAGTGATTTTTTTTATCTTGTGCGCACAAGATACATAACTTACGTACATCTCGTGGTCACAAGTTACATAACTTACGTATATCTTGTGCGCACAAGTTACGTATCTTGTGCGGATAAGTTAATATTTGTAAGGAACAGGTTAGCTGTGTATAGCTGCCGTACTACGTTTGCTAGACCTCTAGGTTAAGCTGCCTTTACAATTTTCAAGAATTTACTGATCTCTCAAAAATGATTTTATTGACATAATTAGATAGGCGAATTGCTGTGTGTTTGATGTTACTCGCTTGTTTAATCGAATCGTTCTCCTAAAAAAACATTGCTGGCATCAGGGTACAATATAATAAGATACAATAGCCTTGCAATTAATATTACTCGAAGGAGTAAATGCAACGCTGCTGCGCAATACTTTGGCATTAAGGCTGAGTTACACAGTCCGTGTGAATGGTCGCGACAGAGGTGAAACGCCATGAACAATACTTTTTTCTTTCACTATCGGTAATCATAGTAAAACAGGTATAAACAGGTTCAATAAATACAATAAACAGGTGTCAGTAATTATGTATATTACTGTACCTGTTTATCATAGTGTATTATTATGATTACCGATAAGGACCGAAGAAAAAGTATTGTTCATGTCGCTTCACCTCTGTCGCGACCATTCATACGGACTGTAACTATCTTGTGCGCACAAGTTATTTTCTTGTGCGCACAAGATAAAAAAAAAATCACTCTATGGGACTAAGGGGGCTCCGTACCTGTGCGTGTTTTGCATTATTTATTGATCTTTATTATTTATAATTTTTTTTTAGCTATAGCGATCTTCATGTTTTTGAACTTCAGGACCCTACCCAGGTTATTGAGTGGACGTCAGATAAAAGTAAGCCATGCTCGCCTGGTGATCTGCTATGTACTTACTTAAAATTGCTGATTTTCTGTAGCCATATATCTTAATCTTATATACTGCACTTTTACGTAATATGTAATTTCTAGGTATCTGTGTGGCTGGATACAAAGGGACACAATCACATGAAATCTTGGAATTGCTTTTACCACAGAAATTATCTACTAAAGACAACCAGGTGAATACAAATGCTTCTTTTTTTTTTGCTTTTGCTGGAAATGCCCCGCAAACAAGCAGATGCTGAGTTTGGTATGTAGTTACTAGAGTATCATCATTTTGTAAATCTCTTGGCTACAGGGACTTTGTCCTGAGCGAGATTTTAAAGTACATCATGGTGGTTTCTCAGAAGAACCCATTAGCTGCCTGAAGTATATTTTGGGATCGAAGTAAGTGGACTCATTATGATTAAATTACAGAAACAGGAATGTACTTTTTTGACAGGTATGCAGACAGGAAAGAGTCAAAACAGCAGCTAAATAACTAAACGGTATGAGATGAGTAGGAAATGGATGTTCATAGTCAGATTGTGGTCAAGCTTCTGGCCAGATCATTTGGGGGGAGCAGATTTTTGTACAGCAGACTGGGTAGTGTGTGATGCCAAGGGGTGTTCAAGTTCCTTGTGAGGATGTAGATCTTGAGGGATTTCAGAATGCATCAGTGCATGTCTATATTATTTGTCGGTTATTTGTTTGCATACCGGGTTGACCCATGTAGAAATAATCCCAATTTTAACTGAGCCTAAATAATATAAGACAAAATCTCATTACAATTATTTCTGATGCATCAATGTCATTGGCATATTAGCTGTCCTGGAAAGGTCTGCTAGCTTGTTTTCCTGCATACATTCTGCTGTTTCCTGTTAGATGTGTGGTGACCAGTGGTTTCCCTGGATCCAGTCTGCAGATATGGCGGATTGGAGGAGATGATACTGGTGAGGACTGCTTTTGTTGCTGGATACAGCAGATACATTGAGGAAGATTGCCTGTTTCTTTTTGCATTTAGAATGTGATATTGTTTGAGTTGCATGAATCAATTACAGTGATTTTTCTCTTAGAATGTTGGAGTTATGAAATTGTGTTACAATGACTTTTTGTTTTCTTGTCATCAATTGAAGATGCGATCAAGAGGACTGGATGCATTAATCATAATAATAAGTCAGAGAAATCATGCAAATTAGCATCTGGAGTTACTGGAGTTGCACCGCGAGTCCTGCATGGCTCACAGATAAGGGATGTTCAGCTAACTGACCTCGAATCTGGAAGGTTGCTCTACACTGCAGGTACTTTTTTCTGTCTCTGACCCAAAGGAGCAGGCCATTGTATTATCAGCCATCCAGTATTATCTTATATTGTTGTTGCTGTGAGACTGCAGTCTTGACAGCAGTGACACTTCTTTTCCTCCACAGGGGAAGATCTGTCAGACATCGTGAGTAGCCTGCAGTTTGTGGACACGGATGTGTTCTTGGTCTGCACGAGCAGTGGTGACTTGTGGGTTGGTGACATCCGGGATGCTTCAGCTTTTCGGCGGAATCCCGTTGGAGAGCTGGATGGATCCTACTGGTGCATGGATTTGAGAAAAGACACCTTGCCGTCAGATCCTGCTGTTTGCACTGTGGTGCGCCTTTCTTCTGCCTCTCGGGCGATTGTGTCAGACCTAAGAAATCTGAAAAGTCCCATCTGTCGAGCGCAGCTGAATATCCCACATGGAGATGCTGGCTGTGACTTCCTCAATGTCACTTGGGCCCCAGCTTTGGACAATTGTCTTGCAGTTTCAGGTAGGCATCTTGTCATTCTTACAAGCATTAATGAATTTGAACTAAATTCTGTCTAAAATGTGCCACAAGAATATATGAAAAAAGTTGTTTAATATGTCAAGATTTAAAGAAAGTAATACAATGTGAAAAAGCCTAGATTAATCTTTTAAACATTAACTTTTTTTTTTTTTTCAGGTTTTGGTGGAATGGTACATATCTATGACATCACAGCTTGGAGGCCAGAATTAACAGAACCCCAGTCGCTGTTTGTGCATAAAGGTCACATAATGTCCACTGGTCCTGAAAGTGAATTCAATCCTACTATTGTCACAACTCACTCATGGCATCCTTGGAGACCTAGGACTTTACTTTCAGCTGGTACAGATGGATCTTTACATGTTTGGGATTGGGTCGACAAAACACTAAATAGCTGTTAAGTCTGAAAAGCGCTTCAGATCAGCAGCTCTGCCAGGATTCAAGTCTGACATGCAGATCACATGACTTTGGGGGAAAATTACTGAACAGTGTTTTTTCCGCAAAGTCCTGTGATATTAGTTATTCGATGACATCTAATATTTTAAAAGCTATACCATTGGGTCAATCCACTATTTTTATAAATGAATATTAAAATTTAATTTCATAATCCTGAACATTTCCATTATTTTTTACTTGGGGAAAAAAAAATGTATGTTCAAAATACAGGAAGAGTGAAACCATAATTATTTATGCTTTAAACAGTCAACTGTATATTTATGGGTTAAACTTGTCTACTAACAGATGTGGTACTTGATCTTATGGAATAATGAGTTAAACTTTGAAATATTTGGATCCAGCTACCATGGTTAAAGGCATGACATTGTCACGTGTGGAGGGAATGTCTTGGTCCTGGGTTGCTTTGCTGGTGATAGATTGATGATCTTTACTCCATGTTTTTCTTATTCAGGATGGCTATCATAACATTATTACAGATAGGTAATGGGCAATCATTCGTTCTTCAACAAGATAGCGACCAAACCACACTTCAAAAATGCATAAAAGATATCTGGGGAAGACAGAAAGTGAGAGAACTCCAGACTAATGACCTGGTCTGCCTAGTTTCCAGACCTGAATCAAAACCCAACTTGTATGGGATAAATAGGATGAAAACAGTTATCTAGGTAAACAGTGACTATTTTGGGAGATTTAAATGCAATTTTCAATTTTCTTGAAGACTGCTCTGGTGCTGCATGTTTGTTTTAATGTGTTTTTTCAATTTCTAGTTTTTACAGAAAAATATTATGAAAACGTTTCCAGTGAGTGCACTCAAACTGGTACAGTACATTATAGCTTAAAATACAGTGATCTGGTATCCTGTCCTATTACTTCCAAGTTGCATAATATTCATAACACAGCAAAGCCAATTAACTTTGTAGTTTATCCAGTATTTCACTAATAATTCTGCTTGTGGACCCTAAAAGTTAAACTAGACACATCCAAACATACATATACATACATTTATCCTGGTCAGGGTCAAGTGGGCATAAAATTACTGAAATCCTTAAAAGCCATGATCCATAGGTTAGTTATACCTGTAGGTTAGTTATACCTGTAGGTTAGTTATACCTGTAGGTTAGTTATACCTGTAGGTTAGTTATACCTGTAGGTTAGTTATACCTGTAGGTTAGTTATCAGTTGCCTCCAACACATCATGAAGTGGGAAACTTACGAAAGCAATCTGCTCATTCTCATGCTTCTGGCCACATTCTAGCAAACAGGCAAATAATCCCAAATCTGCACAGTAGGTCAAGTCAGAGTAAGCACTGGGGCCAGGACAGATGATCCAGGGCTTCTGCCAGTCAGACGGGCAAAGTGGCTTCCTGTTCACATACACACCCAAGTCCTTTCTCTTCTTGCAGTTGGTGGGGTGAGAAAACAGCAGCCATGTCTGCATATCGCCGCCTTGGTCCGTGTTCGGTGCAGGGAACCCAATCACGCTACCTTGACACCCGTGGTGCTGTTCCACAAGTGCCCGTGCCGAATTGCACCTGTCAAAGTCAGCCCTGTCGCTCTCTCCAACAGCCTCCACTCTGTGACCCTTTGAACTGCGGGCATTACAATACACATGGCTATTGGCGCTGCCATCAATGATCTCGGCGACTTCACACTCTGCAGAGTTCTTCTTCACAGGCTTGCTGATATGCCAAGTCTCACCTCTGTCTTCACTGTAGAAATAAAAGGCATGTGGCCTTATATATTTTGGGCAAGGATAGCAGCAGCACTTGCAGTGGATGTAGTAAACGTATGCAGGCACAATCAATTTGCCGCTACTCAGAAGCTGTAGGCCGTGTCCTGGTCCAACAGCAAAAGTTGCCCACCTGTGAATCTGTCTTCCAATCACACTCTCTGTCAAGTCTGTTACTTTACTCCAGTTCTCCCCCTTGTCTGTGCTGGATATATAGCAGAGCCTGGCTGCATTTTTACCTCTGCATATCTGTTGGGTTTCTGATACATTCTTCGGAATGCAAATAAAAAAAAGGAAGAGAGTTTCCGATATTTTTTCACGTACTACGCAGGGGTTCATGGTGCGATGCTTCGGCAGGCTCGCTGAACTCAGTTCCCGAATGGATGACCACTGAAAAAACATTCCGCAGCATTAGGGTTACTCAAATTGCCCGGTATAACTCAATTTAACATACAAAAGTATGTACGTTTTTATTAATCGCAACAGGTTTTTATTTTTAAACGTGGAGCAAGAGAGGAAAAAAAGGATGTTATACTTTTTAGTTTGGCAGTTCTAGTTTAAGTCTTGGAGGTGTGATTTGTGCTGTGTGGTTGTTCAATAACGTTAGTATTAGATGAAAACTATTTTGATAACATAAACATCAGAGAACCATAAGGATAGAGGGCTGCCATTGCAGCACTCAGTTCAGTTCATGCCATGAAAATTTCACACTGTTCTATGTGCACGGGGGGTTTCCCTAATGATGAGGTCAGCGAGGTGAGTCTATTTTGCTGCGTAAGGGGGTTGCTACGAACTTTCTAGATATCCTTCCCGGCATGCTCTGCTTAATACCGGAGCGAGCGAGAGCGTGAAAGAATTAAAAAAAGGGAGGTTGTATTGGCTGGTTTGAATTATTGAGGAGGATACAATCTCCCCATAATTGACGCCTATGCTTACCCCCTTTTTAACAATGAATTTTAGTTGCTTACAATACATGCAATTTATAGGAAGAGACAGACCGTTACCTCTGCCGTTCCGTTTAAATGCAACTTCCCTTTTCGCATGACCAGGATTTCTGCGTCGGTGTCACATGGAGTGGACCGCTTTTCCGCAATGGCTAGGAGGATGCGCTCATCCCCGTCCTTTATGTAGGTCAGAGACGGGATCCTGTACGTCAGTCCGCCGGGCCGCTGCTGCTGGAAAAGCACCGTTTTCGCCGGAGGCGCTTTCGGTGTCGCGTCACCCATAACTTGGATGATATACCTAGAAGGGTCAGTAAATAAGATAGGTCTTTGTAGGCTACTTAATGTTAATATTCTGTAGAAAATAAAACACCGGGTTATAGTGTCTGCAGCGCGATTTTGCAAGCATTGCGTAAATTTGAATGTCTACAGCTAAATCAGCTGTGCAACCTAAAAAATAAATAATCGCTCATAAGCTTACCTTGACTGTTGCAAAGTTCTTAAATTTCTACCGGCACATATCTTTGCCATAAAAACAATATGGCCTGCTTTAATTCGTGCTTTGCCAGTTATGCTGCAAAGCAATCGCCTTCCGGGTAAATCTGAAGTCCCAAGTTCAGCAAACGTCTGTACGCTAGAATGCGACGGTAAATCACAAGTGCAATTTCGAGTCTGCTTTTCATTTAAGATGCATAACACGTATGCGTGTTTTTTTTTAAAGATTGCTGGGTATTATCTACAAGTCTCCCACTTTCTTATATGATATAAAGCGCCCATTCTGCAAAACTAAGAATCAAGTTAGTCGTATACAAGGGGGTAACTTTTGGTTGAGCATTGTGGGGCTTGAGGTCTAAACTCATTTTTGGAGTTCCAGGGGGTTGCATTTGCTGGTTTTGATTATTGGGGGGTACACCAACGCTGCAGATTGTTTTACATATAGCCAAAGAAATGTAGTATGTTTTTGAAAGCTTTGAAAGTCTACTTCCCTCCATCATATATTCAAAATTTGCTAGAATATTTAGTATTTGCTCATAACTTCAAATTTAAATGCGACAAATACGGTAAAGTGTAGTTTTAATACCACTTAATCGCAGTGTGCCGTTTGTCTAGCTGGTACGTGGCAAAAGCATCTGCTAATTATGTAAATAATTTGCATTTAATTCATTTTGGAGTGTTTTTAAATTCCACCACTGTACATATGCAAATACACTGCACACATAATAAGTCTGCATAAGTAATATTTATTTGAAATATACATCTGTTTGGCCACATTCCTTTTCACATGGATTTTGATTTGTCCTTTTTAAATCAAATGCCATGAGCTGCATTCAAAAGAACAGCAAAACACAGAATTGCTTAACAGCTAAAACAGTGCACCATTGCAGTAAACGAGACACATACGCTAAGTTCAGTATAACACCTTCTATGTGAAAAAGGAGTCAGCTACAAATGTGTCATATTAAGGCAAATTATGAGCTACATAATAGATGTAGCCAACTATGACACCATTACATTTAAACCGATTTCAAATTGGTTACAATCCTTCATTTTTGGTCCATCAAACCTTTTGACGTGTAAATAAAAATCCTAACTACAAAAAAATGGTAAACTGTGTTTGTATGCTCAACACTGGACTAAAAGTAGCAGCTTAAAAATAAAAACAATGTAACCCTCCAAATCTAAAATAATTTAACTGAGGCTTGTGCAAAGGAAAATCCCAATAAAAGGAAATTGAAATGTTTATAGGCCAAATTTCTTATTTTAAATGGCAACAAAAACAAAGCCTAACTCAAGAAAAGTGGCAAAGAGAGGACTCCAAAACGGTTATCTTATGCAGATTTGGAATTTATCGTAGCCTGAACACTGTTATATTCTTACAAACCTGCCACTGAAATGATCATTCTAGGGAAGTTGGGTGAGGCAGCATGAGTGTCTCCAATTGTCTACAGCAGTGTTTCCTGACCCAGTCCTCAGGGACCCCCAGACAGTCCACATATTTGCTTCCTCCTAGCTCCCAGCCAATCAAGAACCCTGAATACCTAGTATGGAACTATGGATGTGTTGGGAGCAGGGAGAGAGCAGAAACGTGGACCGGGAAACACTGGTCTACAGAATTCTCCTGCATGCACACAATGTCATTTAGTACATACTGCAGGCAGCCAATAGTACTTCACTCCAAATTATTCCACGACGCATCTCCCCATGAAACTGACTAGTAAGACGCCCAGCATAGAACCAGCACATGTACAGCAGACATTTGAAATCCCCTGCCTGACTCACCCGCCCCCTCGATGCAAAAGCGTACCACTTATGTTCCACTGTTACAGAAGTCCTGGAAGATAACACAACTTAGACTTGAACAGCAGACATGGATTCAGCCTATGCTCACAAATAGTAACACAAAGGGCTGAGTTATTCTGTGTGTTGTCTACTTGGATTTCTTGTCCACTGCCAGGGTGTCATGAAGTTTCGATACTCTCTTTTCAAACTGGTCCTTCACTAATGCCCCATTCTGATCGAAGAACTTGGCAATAGACTCTGTGAACTCCATCTCCCTTTTCCGACTGGTTTTCCCATCGGTAAAAGTGATTCTGAGTGTGTAGCTATCATCAAACCTGAGGAGCACCAAAAGAAATGTATTTTGAATGCACAGTCACACTGAATATCAACAGAAAGGTAATGTTTCTGCAAGTGTTCCTTTAAACTTCAACTGTAGTATTATTCAGGACTGTGAAATTGAACGTAAAAGGGAATCCCAGTGAAACCAGCAGTAGTACCTTTTTAGACTTGAAGAAATCTGCCAGACGTGGCCAGGGTCCATGCCTACTGGATCTTTCTGAATTGCAACTATAAAAGTATTTTTTTCCTTGTAAGATGTGTACAAGGTAAGAATACCCATCATTATGAAATATGTGAGAAAACAATTAAGGTAACAATAATTCTAAAAAGGAAATGGAAGACAACCACAATAGTCAAGTCCCACACTCCAATCACCGTCTAATATTGACCTAGTGTTTAGTGTCATAGAAGCAAGGGTAATCAGCGTTACAGTCATAGCACCATCCCCTTTTAGACTGCTGTGACATTAACCAGTCTCAAAAGGTATTATTCCTGTAAGATTTTCAAGAGTAAAAAAGGCCAGCAAAGACCCCACCTAGCTGAAAAAATGGATTACTGCATAATTAAAAAGATTAATAGATAATAAGATGAAGTGACAAACATTTTCAACATCAACTTTAGACGTACTAAAGCAGATATTGCACAATAGTTCCACAATTCAGTGAATAAAAAGGATATGATATCACACAGAATGCCAGGACAGGTTTTGACTCAGGGAAAGGGTGAAGATAGTCCCACACTAGTGCTACGATAGCGAAGAGACAGGACACTGTGCAAATGGCGAGCCGTCCGTCTATCAGGTTGAAGTTCTCTATGTAACCATATTTGTCCAAAAGAACCTGCAGTGGATAAATTAATTCAGGTTAAAAGACAGACCCATTTATTTACATGCTTTTGACCGAAATGAAAATGATCATGAGGTAGCACTGAAGCGGGACCTCATGACTGACTGAGAGAAAGTTATTTACCTTTTTAGCAGCATCATCAAGTGAATTCTTCACAGCAGCTCCGTCCCATTTATCTATCTTGACAGGCTTTTCATCAATTCTCCACTGAGAAGAGGTTGATCAAACGTGTGAGTTATTTATTTATGTGGCAGACAATTTTGTCCAACATTCAAGTGAGCGGCATAGAGCCGGGTTAACTGGAGTTAAGAGGCTTGCTCAAGGGCTCAATGGCAATATGATTACCCATCAGCCATGGGATTTTAACTCATGACCTTTCAGACATGTGCATGGATCCCAAACCTGCACAGGTACACTCATACTTTTCAGTATTTATTTGTTCCTCAGTGCTATAATGTTGCAAGCTTTGAATTGTTTAGAAATGTAAAAAAAATTAGCAATTTGGGGAAGTGAGTTTTTCCATACAGTATACAGATTTGTCTGAAAACACAGCTTTTTAATATTTTTTCATTAATACATTTTCAACTGACATAAACTTAAAAGCTTGTAACTTGTAACGTCTTTCATTCCATGAGATACATTAAGACATCCAACATAGAAATGCACACGCGCGCATTTTTTTTTAGCATTATTCTCTTAAGTTTACTTGTTTCTCACCTGATTATTAAACGTGACACGGATGAATAAAATGTTATATTTTAAAAGAAAAAGTAAAATGCAAACAGGAAACCGCAAAACACCATGTTTGCACAGAGCTCAACGTGTCTTGGGGAGATAAATACTAGTGCTCCAAAAGACGTATATAGGCATAGAAAATACGACCTCTGAGATCCTTAATTCCCCTATAAATGATAATTTTTACAATCGATTATTAATATGTTTAAAACCTCTATTCATACCGCTTGACGTGAAATTATAATAGAAGATGAGGTATGTCTTATAAGTATAACATAATGACTGTAAGCATGCTAGCAAATGTACCTTTAACATGAAGTTTTCTAAACCAAGCACCCAAAAAAAAACAATAAATAAAGACAAACGTCTTACTTTGTCTAGCAAGCCAGTCCTCCCGTTCCTCGCCGCCATTATTGTTCCGTTTGCACGCGCTGTGACTACAGACACTGTGGTTGGCTTAAGAGTGGCTGCGTAACAGCGCCTCTTCAGACGTGTCTGGGAATTGCATGCGCTCCAGTTTCACTTTGTGTTCGTAGCGTTGCTATGATACGTTACTTAGGCGCCGCGTTGTACTGTAACGAAGGTTGCTAACAAGTTCTTGGATTGTTCTTGGATTGGATTGATAAGAGAAAGAACGGTCGCTACCCAAATGGGACATTTTGTCAGCCCTTTCGGCGACTTCCCTGGACTGGCAATGATGTTATTATAATGAATTGAATTAATTTTAAATAAGACTTCCCTGGCATAATTATATTTCGTTTCTGTGTTTCAGATCATGCTAAATTTCACTGAGCAACACATACGATGAAGGGTCTGTGTAACCCAGCGTGACGCTACTACAATCAGCGATGGCCAAACTGGGACACTACAAACTGGACAACGGAGACCGTACCCCTTCCAGTATATTCCCTGTAAAACCTTTGTTTAAGCAGCGTAAAACAGGTATTTATTTTTCCACATTGCGCTACATCTAAGTCTATCCGGTATGCATGCAATCATTCATAAAAATGTTTGGTAACGCTTTACTTGAGGGGGCACACATAATACACACATAATACACTGTTATATAAAGTATCAATTAACCAGAAGCTGTGTTAGTTATGTTCTGATCCCATGTTCGTTCATCATTACTCATAACGGTTCATGTATTTCATGTAGTTACGATATTTGATCATGATAAATTGTACTTGAGTAGTATCCGAGATACCAAGTAAATTGTGGTCCCGCAAGTAAAGTGTTACCAAATGTTTTGTATATAATTGCATGTATAGGTTCGTTTTGTCTGTAGGGGTCTGTAGGCAGCCTTGACTTGGTGGATTTTCGTCCTTTTTATGAACAGGTCACTGGCTTGTGGCACAGAGGAGCTTGTTAGAGCATGAATATAGAAGATCACTGAAGAAAAAATCGCAGGGACTCTTGACAGCTGAGGAGCGTCTAGCTCTTTCAGACAGTACTGAATTATTGGGTTCCAGCAAAGTGGAAAATAGAGGCACTGTTTTAGATGGATATTTTCTTGTAAGCCACAGTAAACTATTATTTTAATACCTTTAATTAAATACAGTAAAATAATCACAATAATTTAATACTAATTGTTTTTCAGATGACATTACATTGTGTTGACAGGCCTTCTGAGCTGTGCTCTGTTGACATTAGTGGACAGAAACTATACTCGGTATGAACTAATTTTCTTTCTAACAAACTCAAGTCAGAAACTAATAAGCAGCTATGTTTTGGGAATAAAATGTACAGTAGCAAAACTGAACAGTAACAGATAACAATGTCTATGAAATAGTATATTATTATTATTCTGGGAAACAACGTATATACGTGCCATAGTGATAAATAATTTACTTTCCTATCTCTTGTCTTTAAACAGGTCAACCTAGAGAACGTGGAGGAATTTGACAATGTTGCTTATATCAATGCTTCTGACAATCGTTTGAACTTAGGTATAAATAAAAACTGAACATATTGTAGACAAAAGCATATAAATAACTTGAAAGATCACAAAACATTATGTTTTCTTATTGTTTCAGAAGCTTTCAGTGGGTTTCCAATCTTAAGGGAGCTGGAACTGTCACTAAACGGCCTACGTAACATAATTGTCAAAGATAGAGACTTTCCACATCTGGAGGTGATGATATGAAGTCTTTTGTGGTTGAAACCTGCAATTAATAATTAATGATGTTGCGTCCTATTCAACATCACTACTAAAACATCCTTGAACTAAAAAATATATATATATCTGTTTGTTACAGACGTTGGATCTCTCTTACAACAGCCTGTCAAGTGATGATATCTTGGGAATTAGTATGCTTCCTTGTCTAAAAATTCTTCATCTCACAGGGAATAAACTTCTGACTCTGCCAGACATCATGAGTGTTCCACACCAAGAGTCTTCTCATTTGTAAATATTGTTGTTTATTTAAAGTTAAATGTAGATGTTAGATTTACATATAGCTCAGTAATTCTGCAGTATGGTCATAGGCGACTCTAGGCTTTTCTCCCAAGGGGTACAAGATAAGACAGCCCAACCAGTCATTCATCAACATAAATAAATGAATTAAATTTTTTTTAATTCATTTGCAATAAACTATTATAACAAACACAAAGCGCATTTTCAAATACTGTATAGCATATTTGTTCAACTTAATACGTTCAAATAGTATTTTTATCTGACCAGTAGGGGGTGAAATTGCACCCCTGGCAAAATTGTCTATGATTACAGGAACTCTTTCTTTTCAAAACAAAATAAACAGACCACAGTTTCTCTACATTTATGTTTTGCAGTTATATATAAGTTATAATATTTGCTGTGTTTTGCGACATTACCATATAGAAATTGTGTGAATGGAAGAATTTCTTGGGTATGCATTGCAAAAAGTCCAAAGATGATCAAGAAACCTTTTTAGAGCTGACAGAAAATCTGCTTAAACAGGAAATCGGCACAAGATAGACGATTTTGTGCCCTTGAGGTTCTGATGTTAGATGACAACTGCCTGTCTTCTCCAAGAATCTTCACCAGCCTTGCCAATCTGAAAAGGTCAGTTTGCTCATTATTAAGAATATTTAGTTTTAATTAATCTAAATGAATAATTACAACCAAAAACTAAAAAGGACTAATAAATCTTGGAAAATCATAATCCATAGTGGCTAAGTGTCTAGTGTTTCCTCAAACTTCATGGGTTGAAGGGGGTCTAATCACCCACAGTGTGTGACTGTGTATGTACAGTATCCTGTGATGGACTGGCATCCCGTCCAGGGTGTCCCCTGTCTTGTGTCCTGTGATGGACTGGCATCCCGTCCAGGGTGTCCCCTGTCTTGTGTCCTGTGATGGACTGGCATCCTGTCCAGGGTGTCCCCTGTCTTGTGTC